ATGTTTATTAAGTGTGACGGCACATCTTTTGGAAAGCACCATAACTTTCTGCGCAATAGACAGATCGCATCATCACAGGGCCCCCGATATAAAGAACTGCTTATGGGTTTGGGGCCTCGGGGTACGTACCTTCGCCCCGACTTACGACTTATGCGCCACGTACAACCACAACGTATGTATGAATTGTTTCTTTACAGTGCGTACAACAGTGTACATCTTATGATTACTCATATTATGTACAATAATTATATGAGCATATATTTCATTTGTGTTCTTTATTTACAAGTTTTATAACCCGTCTGGAAAAATATAGTTTCGAAAAATATTAATTCGACTTACGACCAGTTCGACCTACGACAAGTTAGTTGTAGCGGACCTGAAGTCGAGGGGACCCTGTAAAAAATATTAAATTTTTCAAGGTTTTTCTTTTAAAATCTTCTTAGATGCTAGGTTGCGATGCCATATACATTTATACCTGACTAGAAAGTGGTTACAAGGAACTTAGGAGATAGTTCTTTCATTGACATTCCAAGTCTTTCAAATGGTAGTTTTATATTCTGCTTTACGACATCGAAACACGTCCAAGAGCCTCTTCATAATATAAATCAACTGTAATATTATAGAGACCTTGTGTTGTCCCTTCAGCGTGGTCCCTTGCTCGGCCTGTCTTGTTTACTCCGAAGGAAAGGTGGCACTAATAGGTATTGAAAAAAAAAAAAACATGCCTTGGTGTCAGAGAAGCAGTGATCTGTCTGCCCTCCTGTTGGAGCTAACCTCCACAACAGGTGCAAATCAAGGTAAAAGACATGGTCTGTCTTGTCACAACATTTAGTTTTCTGACACCATATCCTCTTTCTTAAGATAAGTAAAGGGTGGTGACCGTGGTGTTGCGAGTCTGATTCGTAACTCCAGCGTACCGTGATCGAAACCATCTGCTGACTGCATGGATTTTTATCATGGTATGGGGCGTCGCAGGTCTACCCAGCCTAAAATGGGTACCAGGATGTATGTCCTGAAGAAGCAAAGACAGCCGGCGTAATGCTGACCACATTAACCACCTAGTTTCGATTGGTCTGTAAAAATATAAGTGCTCTTCCCATATGCCCAATGCGCCTAAGGGCGTGAAAAGGAATCTGTACTTTACTTTACTATGATAAGTAAAAGACCATTTTCCACGCCTTTAGGCGTATAGGGCAAATAGGGCTAAACCTATATTTTATAGACCAATCGGCACAAGATGGGTGATGTGGTCAGCATCACGCCGGCCGCCTTTACTTCCCTGGACTGCACCCGGTACCAACTCAAGGCTGGATCGACATCGGAACCAAGGCTTCCTATGATACGGCTTGTATAATTTCCATGACGTTTCTCAACCCGGTGCTGTTGCCCCAATTTCGCATGTCAGGTTTGGTAAACAGCCCACAACATTTGGCGTTACTTAACATGTGACACTTCTCACACTGTAGGTTGTTGTTCTGTGTTTTATGTCCCAATTTCGTACACGTTTGTATCAGCGCCGAAGTTTTCACAAATAATTCACATACACAACCCAACAGCTTTATGAACTAACTAACCATAATGCTGTCATGTGGTATATGTGAATATGAAGGTCATCATCGTGTAGAAGGTTTTGCAGAACGTCACTCTCATCACGGTCTGCCTGTAAGAAACTCGGTCTCTCGCCAGCTCTCCTGCCTCATATACTTTCATACTCAAGGAGTCACTTATATCCTGTGTCCATCTTCGTGTCGGTCGGCCCCTGCCTCTCCTTTCTGGTACCATGCTTTCTGCTATCATTTTTTCAAATCTGTCATGGCACCTAACCTGGTCAAAAGGTTTCAGCTTCCGAGACAGGATGCTGTTTATTAGCCAATCTTTCTTGATGTTCAGATCTTTCCAGATGTCAGTATTTCTCCTCTTCTTTGTCCAAGAAATTCGGAGAATCTTTCTATAGTATTTCCGCTCAAAAGCCCCTATTCTCTTTCTTATAGACTGGAACATAGTCCACCCCTCACATCCGTATGTTGCTACAGGGAAGATGCATGCTCTCAAAATTCAAATTGTGATCTTTTTGCTGGTGCTTAACCATAGACTTTTACTGATGTTTTAATTATAAGGCAAGTAAAGTAAAACGAGGTCCTAATGCTGCACATTGTGGTGTAGAAACTGAAATGGATCGAATAAATATTGTTACTAGCCATCGTCAAATAACAGCTGTTTATAAACACACCTATGGTTAAGTGTTTGAAAGGCATCAACAGTATTTGAAAGCAAGAACAGAATATGGAACTCTTAATGGTGTAGTTTTAAAACAAGTTTTGTATTTGCTTGTTGTACCCTACAAGGACATGAGAAAGCAAAGGGCTTACAAAATAAAAAAAAAAAAAAAAAAAAAAAACCATAAAAGAAAAGTTTATAAGGGGGGTAAATATTTGCTGGAATGGAGTCTATTCTTTACATGGAAGGAATTGCACAGAATGGACAAATAGATTGGTAAATTATTTAACATATAATGGAACAGCAGGACAACAAAGACGATGAATGTTTATCAAATCACAGTGATATATAGAGCCACCTTTACCGACTGGTGAATGCAGACACGTGCGATTATTTAAAACATTATAGGTCGACGACAGTTGTATGTCATTGACAATTTACACATGCGATTATCTAGGACATTACAATTTTACTTAAGGCTAAAAATCTGAACTCTGCGATCTTGAAATAAAACTATGCAAGACAATATCTGAACTTGTCAAACCGGCAAAAAAAATGTGTTTAAATAATTATGTAATAACACTTTATCATAATATTAGTTAAATGTCACGTCCGATCACTTTACAGTTTCACCCACTTGACAAATTGCTGCACATTTTACACATTTGACAGGTTGCTTCTGTTTCACGAATTCAATTAATCTGAACTCACTTGCTGCCCGTAGACATCAACCGGAGATTAAAATTATTACTGTTCCCCAACATTAAGTCGAACCCAAAGACCCAATGACCTGTTGTGATTGTATATAATTCCAGTCATAAATATCCGCGGATTGCCAAAGTCTACAACAGTAGCACCTCAGTTTATATTCGTAATTACTGTTCGACTGCATCTTTGTGGGAATCGGTCGATTTCTGGGTGTCGATCTTTAAGTGAGTGCGCTTTTACCACCGATATTTAAATTGTCGATATTCCACGGAAGTCACCGGTGCTCAGCACTCAGCAATTAATAAGGCAGTAAAGTTATGTGCTCAAGTAAATCTATAAGTAATAATAGTAATCTTCGAGGACGTGAAACGTTTAAGACAGTAAACCAGCAAAGAATAACTGAATGAATGAATGAATTAGGAATTAGCATCACTTCATTCGGGACATTCCCACACCCGCTCGGTACCCTTCTTCAGCAGCCGGTGAAGATTTGGCATACTAATAGTACTATTTGCAACCTGATTAAAAGATAGATTCTGTTTCCCCTTCAAAGTTCAAAATCTTCCAGAACCTCTGCTTAATATCGCCGCCCCCCCCCCCCACCCACCCTTTCCCGTTAAATTAGTCTTTCAGTGTAACCACTGACAACAGTGAGCAAGGGGTGTCCTTAATGAAATGAATCCACACAGACAAGCGGTTACCAGCAAAAAAAGCTAGTTATTCACTTCCATATAGGGCGCCCGAGAACTTTAGAAACTGGAGTATGTCGAAAAGAAAGGAACGTCTCGGAGAAGAAGTTAGGCAGGAACAAATTCAAATATAAAATGATGGATAATTTGATATCATGGCATTGAGAACTTTAGAAACTGGAGTATGACGAAAAGAAAGGAACGTCTCGGAGAAGAAGTTAGGCAGGAACAAATTCAAATATAAAATGATGGATAATTTGATATCATGGCATTGAGAACTTTTGAAGCAGACATTGTTGGCACTGTACAAGATAGAAACTTATGGACACATACAATGAGAATTGTCAAACTGTCTGAATTAGCCTCTTTTCATTACGGAACGTTTATAATAATCCCAATTATCAGATTTAATCTCTTTTTATTACGTAACATTTATCATAATCGCAACTGTCAGTTTTAGTCTCTTTTCATTACGGAACAATTATAATAATTACGAACGTCAGTTTGAGTTTCTGTTCATTTCGGAAGATTTATAATAATTACGACCATCAGTTTTAGTTTCTGTTCATTACGGAAGATTTATAATAATTACGACCATCAGTTTTAGTTTCTGTTCATTACGGAACATTTATAATAATCACAACGGTCAGTTTTAGTCTAATTTCATTACGGAACATTTATAATAATCCCAACGGTCAGTTTTAGTCTAATTTCATTACGGAACATTTATAATAATCACAACGGTCAGTTTTAGTCTAATTTCATTACGGAACATTTATAATAATCCCAACGGTCAGTTTTAGTCTAATTTCATTACGGAACAATTATAATAATCGCAACTGTCAGATTTAATCTCTTTTGATTACGGAACATTTATAATAATCACAACGGTCAGTTTTAGTCTAATTCCATTACGGAACATTTATAATAATCACAACGGTCAGTTTTAGTCTAATTCCATTACGGAACATTTATAATAATCACAACGGTCAGTTTTAGTCTAATTCCATTACGGAACATTTATAATAATCACAACGGTCAGTTTTAGTCTAATTCCATTACGGAACATTTATAATAATCACAACGGTCAGTTTTAGTCTAATTCCATTACGGAACATTTATAATAATCACAACTGGCAGACTCATTTGTGCAGCATATTCACAACAGTTGTGACGAGCCGTTTCTTTGTATGCAACATCCTCAAGAGGTAGATTTTCTGTTCTGATCTAATTTAAAAGTTTTCCTGTATCTGAAGACCAGTTTGCAACTGTTGTTCTTACACCTGCAGTTAAAAAATAATTCTAATCAATTTTGACTTGCCGCTATAATCAAAAGGTTATTTCACAATTTAAGGCATTATAATAGAAGAAATTTTGGCGGCAGTAATGAATCGGGTGGATAATCTCATCAATGTCACAAGTGCCAAGGCAAACACTCCTAAAGTTAATGCCATAAGTAATGAGTTACTGTCATATTTAGTTTTAATCAACTTCTGGGGGCCTGGCCAATGTATCGCAATCATGGGTTTAATTCTCAATATTTTAAACATTGTAACATTTATTAAACAAGGACTGCGAGATTCCGTCAACATAAGTCTTCTTTCGCTAGCTGTATCAGATTTGGGATCCTTGTTATTTCAGTTTGTTCTTAACTTATTTTGGACCCCATCTTTCAAGCTACTGGACTTACCATACAGCCCTCAGCACTTACTGTACTTTATGTACTGGATCCACGTTTTATTTACACGTGTCACTACGGGGACCACGGCGTGGGTAACCTTTGAACGATGTCTTTGCATTGTCTCCCCTTTGAAAGTGAAGTCAATAGTGACGGCCAAAAGAACGATATTTTATATCTATACCCTTTACGTCATCATGGCTGGTTCAGTTGCTCCTATATTTTACACTACAAGATTAACGATGATATTTGATAGAACAAAAAACAAATCTGTGCTAGGGTATGTGAAAATTGCCAACAGAGATATCGAAAGCGTTACATATGCACTGAACAACATTTTACCATCAATTTTTTTCGTTTTTATCGTCGTGTGTACCTGCATCCTTGTACGGGCGCTTCAGAAAAATGCCAGAATGCGACAACGAATGACGTCAAACACGGCCACAGTAGTTTCAAGTCGTGACACCAAGGTAGCTAAACTTGTCACAATTATCTCGCTCATCTTCATCTTCTGCTACGCTCCTAATACAATATTAGGCATCATGCCACTCATTGATCCTGAGATGAAATTAGATAAAAGTAGAGGAAATGTTTCTATTGTTATCGCTTCTTTCATGCTTCTGCTAGAGAGCGTTAATGCTGGCTCCAACTTCTTCATCTACATCTCAATGAGTTCAAGGTTTAAGGCAACTTTCAGACAGGTTTTCTGTATGTTAGCCAAAAATACTGCAGACAAGAGTGACAAGGAAATGCTCTAACCATGCCCCCCACCTCCCCCCCCCCGCCCCCAAATATTGCAAACTCAGTGGCAAAAAAAAAAAATGCTCTAAGCGTCACCAGATCGTCATCGCATACAAAAGTGGCCCAAAAAAATGCTCTAAGCGTCACCAGATCGTCATAGCACACACAAGTGGCCACAAAATGCCCTAAACGTCACCACTTCGTGAATGCATGCAACAGTGACCACGAAATGCTCTAAAGATCTAGTTTGTCATTGCATACAACTGGGACCACGACATGCTCTAAACGGTCACAAAAGGCTCTAAACGTCACTACAGAGTCGTTGCATAAATCAGTGGTCATAAAAGCTCTAAACGTCACTAAATAGTCATTGCATACAGCAGTGGACATGAAATGCTCTAAAACCCACCATAATAACATCATTGCATACAACAGTGGCCACGGATTGCTCTAAACCTGACCAAATCGTCATTGCATACAACAGTGGCCACGAATTGCTCTAAACCTGACCAAATCGTCATTGCATACAACAGTGGCCACGGATTGCTCTAAATCTGACCAAATCGTCATTGCATACAACAGTGGCCACGAATTTCTCTAAACCTGACCAAATCGTCATTGCATACTACAGTGGCCACGGATTGCTCTAAACCTGACCAAATCGTCATTGCAAACAACAGTGGCCACGGATTGCTCTAAACCTGACCAAATCATCATTGCATACAACAGTGGCCACGAATTGCTCTAAACCTGACCAAATCGTCATTGCATACAACAGTGGCCACGGATTGCTCTAAACCAGACCAAATCGTCATTGCATACAACAGTGGCCATGAATTGCTCTAAACGTCACTACAACATCACTGCACACAACAGTGGCCCCGGATTGCTCTAAACCTGACCAAATCGTCATTGCATACAACAGTGGCCATGAATTGCTCTAAATGTCACTACAACATCATTGCACACAACAGTGGCCACGGATTGCTCTAAACGTCACTACAACATCACTGCACACAACAGTGGCCACGGATTGCTCTAAACCTGACCAAATCGTCATTGCATACAACAGTGGCCATGAATTGCTCTAAACGTCACTACAACATCACTGCACACAACAGTGGCCACGGATTGCTCTAAACGTCACTACAACATCACTGCACACAACAGTGGCCACGGATTGCTCTAAACGTCACCAACTCGTCATTGCATACTACAGTGGGATCACAGGACTAATCCCCTGTGTGTGTGCTGAGTGATTCTTTGAGTAAGATCCGGCGGGTCGAGGCAGGCTGGTTACGCAGACAGAGCAAAATTATCCTGTGTGTGCAGTTACTTTCATATTCGTCCCGGGGCATGCGGGCGTTGTTGGTAATGAGAGAGCTGATAGACTGGCAGGCACTGCATTAATTGAAGATAGCCGACCCATGGGTCACGTAGACATTGTCATTGCCCTTAGAGAGGATTTTGGAAGCAACGTGTCCACATCACTTCTAAGAATCCGCGAATTGGGAGTAAAGATCGGCATAGCCAAGTACGAGAAGCACACTGGATTCACACGAAGTCTTATTAACCAGCATAGGACTGGTACTATTAACTGCACGACGCTGATGAATATGTTGAGAGGGGAATCTGAGCGCCTATAGATGTGTCCGGAGTACTGTGAAGATAATCTAACTCAGAACTCATAACTCAACAGTGGTCATGAATTGCTCTAAACGTCACCGAATCGTCATTGCATACAACAGTGATCATGAATTGCTCTAAACATCACTAAATCGTCATTGCATACAACAGTGGCCATGAATTGCTCTAAACGTCACCGAATCGTCATTGCATACAACAGTGGTCATGAATTGCTCTAAACATCACTAAATCGTCATTGCATACAACAGTGGTCATGAATTGCTCTAAACATCACTAAATCGTCATTGCATACAACAGTGGTCATGAATTGCTCTAAACATCACTAAATCGTCATTGCATACAACAGTGGTCATGAATTGCTCTAAACATCACTAAATCGTCACTGATTACAACAGCGGCTATCAAATGCTGTATACATCACTACAGAGACATTGCATGCAAAAGTAGCCATGACTTACTATAAACATCACTAAATCGTATTGCATACACAGTGATCATGACATGCTCTAAACGTCACTACAAAGTCATTGCAGACAACAGTGGGCGTGAAGCGCTCTAAATATGTTTGCAAACAACACTGGAGACACCAATGGTCATGCAACGCTCTAAATATGTTTACCCTAAACACTGGAGACAACAGTGGTCATGCAACGCTCTAAATATGTTTACCCTAAACACTAGAGACAACAGTGGTCATGCAACGCTCTAAATATGTTCACTCTTAACACTGGAGACAACAGTGGTCATGCAAAGCTCTAAATATTTTGTAATCAACACTGGAGAATATTGATCATGCAATGCTCAACAGGTTTCCCCAAACCCACAAAAGCAGTGTCATCCAACGCGCTATATATGTTTAGCCCAAACACTGGAGACAACAATGGTCATGCAACGCTATAAATATGTTTACAATAAACACTGGAGAAAACAATGGTCATGTAACGCTCTATGTATGTTTAGCCCAAACACTGGAGACAACATTGGTCACACAACGCTATAAATATGTTCACAATAAACACTGGAGACAACAATGGTCATGTAGCGCTCTATATATGTTTAGCCCAAACACTGGAGACAACAATGGTCATGCAACACTTTAAATATGTTTATCCTAAACACTGGAGACAACAATGGTCATGGAATGCTCTGAATGTATTTACAATAAATATCAGAGATATCAGTGAGCATGTAGAGCTCTGGATATGTTTACTATAAACACCGGAGACAACAGTGGTAATGCAACGCTCTAAATGTCATCATTTTCATCATCATCAACCACTTCTGTCGTTAAGCGCCGTGGAGAGAAATAATTTTGAGATCCATTGCACGCTATCTACCACTGGCTATTGTCATGCCGTGAAGACATAGAGGGTCTTTAATGTTGTTGATCCATGATTTCATCGGTGGTGTTCTTGCTCTTGTAGCTGATCTTCTGAGATGTAGTTCTTGTGATGATATTTGAGCTTGCTGCATTCTAACAAGATGGTCAGACCACTTCACTTGATCTGCTGTTTCTTAATGAATCTAGTACAAGGTGTCGTTCCCACAATTTGCCTGATGGTTTCATTATTCACTCGATCTCAGATGGTTAGGTTGGTTGCTTTTCTCATGCATCTCATCTCGCAGGTGGTGATTTTGCCTATATGGGCTTTAGATGGTGTCCATGTTTGGCACTGGTAGCTAATATTGGAATAAATATGCTGTTTATAATCTGTCTCTGCGTAATTATAGTTATGCTTTGATTCAGACCAGAACCATTCACCTGCATGTGTTGTGGACCAGAGGTTCTACAAATTTGCATTGTTTCGGTTTTGTTTGCATTGATCTTCATGTTGTATTTACTGCAAGCTGAGTTTATCTTGGTAATGTGGTCTTGCAGTCTATCTTCTTCTTCTCTAAATGTGTTTACAATAAACACTGGAGACCACAGTTGCCATGCAACGCTCTAAATGTGTTTACAATAAACACTGGAGACCACAGTTGGCATGCAACGCTCTAAATGTGTTTACAATAATCACTGGAGACCACAGTTGGCATGCAACGCTCTAAATGTGTTTACAATAATCACTGGAGACCACAGTTGGCATGCAACGCTCTAAATGTGTTTACAACAAACACTGGAGACCACAGTCGGCATGCAACGCTCTAAATGTGTTTACAATAATACTGTAGACAAAATTGGGCATCAAATGATCTAAATGAGTTTACAATAACCACTGGGGACAATAGTTGGCATGCAACGATCTAAATGTGTTTAAAGTAAACACTGGAGACCACAGTCGGCATGCAACGCTCTAAATGTGTTTAAAGTAAACACTGGAGACCACAGTCGGCATGCAACGCTCTAAATGTGTTTAAAGTAAACACTGGAGACCACAGTCGGCATGCAACGCTCTAAATGTGTTTAAAGTAAACACTGGAGACCACAGTCGGCATGCAACGCTCTAAATGTGTTAAAAAAAAAACACTGTAGACAAAAATTGGGCATCAAATGATCGAAATGTGTTTACAGTCTCCACTGGAGACAATAGTTGATATGCAACGTTCTAAGTATGTTTACGGTAAACACAGAAGTGAGGGCGGGGGAGGGGGGGGGAGGCGGGAGGGGAGTTGGTGGAACGTTCTAAATGTGTTTACAAAAAAAAACAAAAAACAAAAAACACTGAAGACAAAAGTGGACATCAAATGCTTTAAATTGGTTTACAATAACCACTAGAGACAACAGATGGCATACAACTCTCTATGTTTACAAAAAACACTCAGGACAACAGTGGGCATCAAATGCTCTAAATGCGTATACAATAACGTCTGGGGACAACAGCGGTCATACAATGATCCAAATGTTTTTACAATACACACTGGGACAACAGTAACCATACAATGCTCTAAATGTGTTTTCTGACACTAAAGACAACAGCGGTCGTCTTTCAGGAGAACAGTGTTATTCAGTTCTTTAGAGAGGCATGGCACTCAGAGAGCAATCTCCTCTCCATACCACAAAGCCTTGATGGTATTGTAAAGAATGAATGATGCCAATACCTCAAAACCTCTCTCTCTCTCTCTCTCTCTCTCTCTCTCTCTCTCTCTCTCTCTCTCTCTCTCTCTCTCTCTCTCTCTGTCTTATTCTTTCTTTTTCGATCTGCCTTGTTTACCCCCAAAGAAAGGTAACACCAGTACGTTTGTAACAAAGAAGGCTGCAGAAGCTGCCGGATCAGAAGAGCAGTGTTCTATCTTTCCGCCTGTCGGAGCTTCCCTCCTAGACCAGCTGCCAGCCAAGGCTAAAGACCTCATCTACTCTGCCACAACATACAATTTTCATGTGGCATTTAGTCTTCATATGAGAGGGCTAGTATATTCCCCAATGCGCAGCTCAGTCAGGAGCCACTGGTACAATATGGAATGTCAGGTTTGGTAAACGCCGCCCAACGCTCGGCGTTAACAGAAGACAGGTGGTGCCCCCTACTGTTACACGGCAACTCAGTCATATCTGACCAAGACCTGACAGTCAAATGTAATAATCAGTTTATTTAAAGACTGGAAACAACCGTGACCATGCGATGCTCTAAATGTAAGACACTTACTTCACGTTTAATATTAGCGCTCTTCAACAAACATATTCAATGCGCGCTATTTGTGTATCACAGACTGTGAGACTCGTGATTGCCGATATCACTATGTGGGATTTTCGGTGCCTTTTTAGGGGGGGGGGGGGGGGGGGGGGCAGGACAGACCAACTGCCCCGAGCAAGTGTATCGTATAAGGTGACCAACTGGAGGTTTTCCTTGGAAGTCGGAGTGCATCTGTCCAAAAGACAAGTAACCCCCAGTCTGAAAACAAAAAGCCAGATCTGCAAATGGACGGAGCTGTAAAACTAAAGTCCTAGAACAAAACTCAAGTCCTAGAACAAAACTCAAGTCCTAGAACAAAACTCAAGTCTCCAAACAACCAGGATTTTCCGCTGTCTTTACAGCCGTGAATGCTGCAACAAAGAAGGAGATGGTCTGTCCCACACAAATCACCCGAATAATGCGATTACATAAGACATGTAAACAAGTCCGTATAACGATCGCGTTAGCGCTGTCGATATGAGATTCACTTTCAAATCCAGCTGTGACTCGCTGCATCCCACGGCTGGTGTTCGAAACCTAGCGGTTCTCAGGGTCACACAGCCTCTAGGTAATGGGTACCAGAGTTAACACTCTGGGGTTAATAGAGGAACGTAGCTTTAGCTACGGATTTTAGTGCTGACGGCGACTCAGGCGGACAGTTTCTTATAAGCTGTTGTACTCGTGGCAGAGCACTTATGGTTTATTACCGTGTGCATTACGCTGGTTCACATCTCCCGACTTTACCTGTGCCGTTAACTTTTGTGAAGTCCGTATAGGTGTGTGAATAATGCTATGATCTATCGTAACATGGAGGTCATAGGTTCTCATCTGTTGCCTTCCTTAAATAGTATGGGCACATGCTACTAACATCAACGAATTCTATAAATCATCTTTTACAACGTTCGCTCTTTAAAGGGCGACGGACATGTTGTGTTTGAGTTTACAGCTAGGCTGCGATACCTGTGACTTTAGGCCAAACAAATTCCTGCGAACCCCCAATTCGTGGTCTCTTACTCATAACCCTTGAGTAATGTGGTTTATTTCCCAGTGGACTGGTAAAAATCCTTTCTCAAGGTTTTCGGACAATAGTACGAGAGTCGCACCGTGAAAGAGATTGGGGCCTCACTACGTAATATTTCAAAAGAGAACAGTAGAACACTGTAGCCAACAAACAAAAAAAAAAGAGCATTTCTTCATAACTCTTTTTTACCC